GCGCCACACATACACACACCCTCCCGGTCCTCCCGATGGCCAGTCGGTGCCTGCCGGTGAGCGTGGAAGTGTGGTCTGCCGCAAGCGGGCGGCAGGAGCGGGGCTGTCAGCATCAGCTTGTAGATGGTATTTTAAACTCGATGCGCTCTGAAACTACGTGGCGGCCGAGGAAAAAAAATACACATGCGTTAATCGCGTTAAAATAATTAGTGGCGTTAATTTTTTTTTTGCGTTAACGCGTTATTAACGCGTTAAATTGACAGCCCTAATATATATATATATACACATATTTGCACACATATTTTTATATACATTTTTTTTTTATATTCGGGCTTGTGGAAAACGGTATTTCGATCTCTGTCTGTACACACAAACTGGAAGATTGACAATAAAGTTGACTTTGACTTCTATAGTAACTTCTCAGCCAACCATACAATGCACACATACATAAAACAACAGTTTATAATCCCGTCTTTATCCTACAGCACTCATACGTGCGACAGCAAACAGACATGCACACAAACAATGTTTAAGACAGTTTTAAAAATCTAATGAAGTTGCAACGGATCTGAGGCACATTATTTACCTGTAGTCGACCGCACAGGTAGCGAGGTGAGTGTGGAGGACAGTGATGACGGCGGGGGCTGTGTATCCCAGAATGGGATCATCAATGACATCCAGAAAGTCCACCAGCTGTGACAAACAAACACAGAGTCAGCTGGCAGGCGAAACAGCCAAAGAAAAAACATTTTGAATTCGTCCACATCATTTAATTTGGTATGGTTTGCATTTTTCTGCACAACCCAAATGGTTTAACCAGAAGATAAAGCAGAACAAATTGCTGATAATAATAATTAGGCTGCAGGCTTATTGGGTAATTCAATTTGTCACATTAAATCAAACTTTACTGGCTATAATCATCTTTTGGAGCAAAAACAGGAAAACAATTCTAAATCTGGTGATTTAGCACTGGAGGGAACGCAGGCTGGTGTTACTGCACAGACAAGATAATGTTCATGTGACCAAGATCTCTGCATTCTTCTTTTGAATACTTCATTTCTAGATAGAAAGTTGTTGACTGTTCTGCATTATGATTGTCTGAAATATGTAGGGACAATATTCCCCCATTAGCACCTCTACAATGGCAACCAGTTGGATTCAGAGTTGATTTTAAGGCTGTAGACTTTGTTTTTAAAGCACTGAAAGGTTTAGCCCTGAGGTATATTGCTGCCCCTTTATCCTTGTCATGCTAGTTTAGCAAAAGCCACAGTTGCAAGCCCATTTTCAGAATATACAGTCGATTGCAAACTGCACAATATTATACTCCTCTGATGCACTCTGCTCCATTTCTGCAAGAGAAATAAGCATATCCCTCTCAACATCGCACTCCACATTCATACATTTTTATTTCTGCATGAAAGTGGAATGTCAAAAATGTGTGTATAAAAAGAAAATAATGCTTTTTCTGGCATCAAATCATTCCATCTGACATAAACGTTCACGAGAGCTGAAAATACTTCAGCTGTCTCTCTTTCCAAGTTTACAACTTCAGTGGCCAAGTAATCATGAAATATGTAAAACACCATGAAATGCCCAGACTATAAATAAAACAGAAAGTGAATGATACATTGCCAGTAACTGGTTGTGCAGGGAAGGAAATCAACACTATTGAGGAATAGAAAGATATTGAGAGACTCTACGGTCCATAAAGGCTTGTTTCTTTACGTTTTCTCATGCTGCTGCTCACCTGCTCATGCCAGCTGTGATTGGTCGGTGCCATGTAGTGTCTCATGGTGGCACCTTGAAGTCGAAGGGCAACTAGGAACTCCTGAAAGGAGAAATGTAAACATTGTTTCATTTCAAACTTGCACCAAAAGCAAAACCAGGTGTTTATAGAGTATGTACCTTAACACCCCTCTGTGGGTCCAGTGTGACTTTGATGGCTGTGGACAACATCTGTAACTCCCCCTCCTTTCCGCTCACACTGCTCACCCCCACCTCTGTGGGGTAGATGGTAGGGTCCAAGTGCTTTGGGGGATTGAATTTGGGTATTTCCAACCGCTGTGGGATGGGGGTGTCTTTCACCACTGCTGTGTTGGGGTAACAAACAAAGTTATGACCACGATGAACATTAAAAGAGCCATTCTGATGTTTCCATGTCAGTGTAACCTGCAGTAGATGGCGGTTGGTACGCCACAGTTATGAGAAACAGACTGAGTTAATCAATGTCCTGCTCTGAATGGGGCACAATGTCTTCTAATGTATTTTAGCCACCAAAATAATTTTAGTGTAAGCTATATAACAAAATGTCCTTGCTTTACCTCGCTGGAAGACAGATATACAGTCTGTTTCCAGCATGGAGCTGAATTTGTTAAATATATATACACTCTTAAAAGCCATCAGACTCCTGAAAAAGTGTTTTTACCTCCCAGAACACAGAAGTTACTGGTCTACTGATGCCCCAATTGTTTTTCTGTTTGTGTTATATTTTAACGTTTTATTTTGGATTCAATGCTCTTAAATATGTTTTGCTTCTGGCACGTTCACAGCAGTATAATGCTTCTTTTTTTTTTTATATGGAGAGTGGGTGTGTGTCGACTGCCCTCTATTGACTGTAATACACTGACACGGTACAAAATATAACCCCCAATTTAAAACTATCCCTCAACATTTTCTACATTGCATCCAATCTACCTGAACATTAATTAACAATCAAATGTTTGCAAACAACATAACAATGTTTACCTTTATGGTATAGCTCCACTCGTCGGCTCTCTATACAAAGGAAATTGAGATTGGGGTCGTTCTGGTGCTGCGCCACGCTGAATATCTTCCCCCCTTCCAGGTCAAGCACAATTTCCCCATGACTCTGGTCCTCCTGAAGCAATGAAATACAATTGAAATATATAAAAAAAGTCAAAGCAATCAAACATTGTTATGGACCAAGCCAGGTCAGTTTTTAGGTTGTGTAAATAAATCTCAGGTCCAGAAGTTGGGATATTGGGAGCCGCTTACCTTCTTGTCTGTTCTGGTTTGCAGGCGCCCTTTGCTGATGATCACAGTGAGGGAGAGGAGGCTGAGGTTGTGGTTGGGACGGGGAGCTTTTGTCTTTCCAGATGAATCACTGGCCAAGAAGAACTGAGGGTCGTCCTCGTCTGAATCAGAGTCTATGGTACAGAGAGAAGACATGTTAAGCTTGCTTAGTTAATAACAAATGTTTTGGCAGGTTGGTATTATATCTGTTTTGATGATGTTACATGATGTTTTTCCATCAAAGCAGTCAAACTCACCCAGTCTAAAGGCCGACTTGCAGAGCTGGAACTCTTCGTGGTGCTGGCGGCTGTGCTCGGGGCTGCTGGCGGAGGGGGGGGGCGGCTCCCACATCAACAGATCATTATTGATCCTTTTGGACAAAGGGGAGGGTGAGGAACAATAATGTTACTTCAGGTGCAGTATTCAAATATGAACAAACGTGGAAGGTATTTCTAACAAAACAGTCCTACATAAGCAGCTCAGAGGACAAGAGCAGTAAAACAAAAAACTTAACCAAATTCTGTGTTTAACGAACAATACAAATATATTCTCTTGAAGATAATATGTATAGAACATACTGTAATGTTGACGTACCTGTTGTAGAAGCTCTGGAAGGCCTGTTTGCTGGGCAGGAGGATGTAGGCCAGCGGCAGGTGGATGTCCACTGCACACTGACACTGAGCGACACACTGCGCCTGAAACTGACGCATCTCCTCGGGGTCGGCTGGAATCACCATCTAAAGAAAGAAAGGAAGTAGGAGGAGAGACGAGGAGGGATGAGTTTGGTCTGAAATTGTGATAAGATGGCTGATAAATAGATGTTCTTTGTGCGCACCTCCTCGGTCTCAAACATGGTGCGGTTGGAGGAGAACGGGGAGCTGGTTTTGTCGTTAATTTCACAGTGACTTTCGAAGAACGCGGCCCCCAGGTCACTGATGAGGTTCATCCCCCCCAGACCTGCTGCCGGGCCCTGAGGGTCCCCTCCACGCACACGCACCGATATCCTGCCCACAGGAAGAGCAAAGTGAGTGATAATGGCTTGTGGGACAGAAAGCATTTATATTTTGTCTCATTTCAAGAGCAAGAATGATTGATTTCACACGACAACTTTTCCTTTAAGAGAGCTTTGCTACTGTAAAGTGCTGATTTGGATTAGAAAGCTTTATTAATCTCCGCCAGGGAAACTCATTCGTCACTTAATGAACTCAGACACACATTCATACGACACAGCAGATACAAATACAGAGAACAACAAATACATATCCTATAAAGAGCCATTTGAGACATAATTAACATCTAAAAGAAGCTACATCTAAAGTCCACATATACAAACACAGTGTAATGGATGTCACTCAAGAAACAGAACATTTTCTAGATATCTCTCTCATATCGTGAATGATGTCTATTCCTCTCATAATAACCATGACTAACCTCGGTGAAGAGTCGCGGTTCTTCTTCACTCTGATAAAGGGGAAAGAGCCGCCCTCCCAGCCCTCGTATGACCCTGGGGAGACACAACACATCATTTCTCTGTCGGCATTAATTTATAAAGGAAGGGAATAACTGTAGCTTTTACAGCTTTTAATAATGAATTGTATTCTATAGAACTTCGTGCAACAGCGAAAACTAAAAGAGCTACTGTCAACCTTACATATGAAGCCCTTAGCTACATTGAAAACACATTGGATTGTCTCCGTCAGGCATTGGTCAGTGTACTGTCTCATGAATATTCAGTCAGCTACTGTACAGGGCTGTGTGTTTTCCCACCATGCAGGTCAGTGAAGGAGGCCTCCAGCAGCTGTGTGAGGCAGGGGGCCCACGGATCCCCGACCACAGGCTGCTCGCTCTGGAGGTCCGGGGCCTCCTGGTGCTTCAGCTCCAGCTCCGTCAGCTCCAGCACGAGAGTCTCCTGCCGCACTGCCCTCTGGGTAGGAGGGCGACGCTCAGGGAGGGGCCGCAGGTCGGGTATGGGGAAACGAAGCCTGAGGATGGCGTGTGGGGAGAGGAGGGAGAAGGAGGAGTACAGCTCGCTGCTCTGGGTCTGAGGAGAGAAAGGGAAAAACTTGTGAACAAGGGTTTTAAGATATGATTCGTTCACAGGGTTACAGAAAGTAGTCCGTTTTGTGGTAGTCACTATTTAAGCTTTACCTGCAGGCAGCAGCAGAAAAACTTATGAAAACTGTTTAACTGTACACTATATGAAGAACATTTTTACTACCTGTGAGACAGCTCTTCTTGATCTAAACCAACCAAAATCAGAAAAAAATAAGAACCCGAAACAACTTGAATCTGAACCAAAAAGTTCTTATTTTCTTTTACGGCAATGCTGTTCATGTTTGTGTCAATAAAAGCATTATTATAAAACGGACAAGTCAAATCAAGCAATCTGATTGGTTCTTAGCCGTGATATACTGAGCGTATACCACGGGTAGAATTGTAGTTACTTTTCACAACAAGTCAGTATCCCTCCGCGCCTGAGAAAAGCTGTATACAGTTGGGCAGAAAAGCAAACTTTTTAACTGGGACAAGAAAACAGCGGAGAAGTAACGGGGCAGAAACCCTCCTTTTTTTAGCATTATTCTATAATAAATATATTTATTGTTTTCAATTGTCAAGCGGACTGAACTTTGACGTATTCCTTCCTAAGCACTGTGTTTGCATGCATGTGTCTAATTTAGTTACTGTCTGATTACTGTATTTTTTAGGGCTCTACTTTTAAGTAAATATTTGTCCTTATGCTGAAATAAATGCATATAGGGTCCCACCTGCATGAGTCCCGGTGCAGCAGTGTCCGTGGGACAGTGGGCGAAGGCCTTGCTCAGGTTCCCCAGGCGAGTGAGGATGTCCAGGTCGAGCTCAGCGCTCAGCTCTGCCAGCTCCACCCGCACTACACTGTCCCGCCGCACCACTCGCTGTTTACCCTGCCAACACACACATCACACGCACATATGTGTTATGGGATAGATTGATATGTTTGTCAGTAACTATGTAACAATGGTTTTTAACTTGAACATGCACATATCAAGTCATGGTTGGCATGTGTGTATAAATACGTACTTTACGCATGTGTTTCTCAGTGAGGCCGTAGTGTAGTTGGGCACATGGTTTGGCTGCAGCTCCAACTGTGAACAGACCGGCTTTCTGGAACTGAAGCAGCTGAAAAAAGACAGAAAGACACACACTGTTCTCTCAAATCTCCCTTATCATCAGGGAAAGAGAACAACAACCATAAACTGCTTTCACAAAGCAGGAGCAAGTTGACTTAATTAAAAAATTACAGAGATTCCTTTTACATCCCTTCTACATGACATCTTTAATTACCAATGCTGGCTCCAGTCAAACATACATATCATTGATTGTAGTACAAAAGAAAGACAAAGAACATCTGTGACAGACTGTCTGATCTTATAATGACCATTTGCGATCGCTTACTGTTTATATGGTTTGATTATGGCTACATTGAAAATATAATGACCAAATATGGACAACCAAACAAAGAAAAAACCTTGGCATGAAGATGTATTTATGTTTAAAGTTTTAGAGTGAACACAGCCACAGTGAGCATCAGACAGACTAATAGAGGATATACCTCGCTGTATTGGGGCTTCCTGTCATCCCAGAGGCACTCTAACAGTTCCAGTCTGCTGAAGGAAAGGTCAGAGGTCACGGCCCGGTTGTGGCGTGACCCACTCCGCATCTCACAAGCAACCTGCACTGCTGCGCCTGTCACTCTGGGGAAGAGGAATCAAGGATAAGTAAAAAAAGACCTTCATCATGGTTTTTTGCATTTCAGAAAATAATTTGTTTATTGAGAAAGGGAAGTCTTTCAGTATCTTCAACTAAATCTTTAATGACATTTTCACCTTCCAAAAGCCGCTTGTTATATTAACACTTCATGTCAAAATAACCTTTCTATCTGTAATTGTTGTAAAAGAAAATCCTTTGGGAAGCTATGTCCACATAAATAACTCACAAAAGGCCAAAATGCTTTTCTACCTGAGATGGGATTGTGGGCAGGCCTTGGCGAAGCCGCCTCTCAGATGGTGGAAGTCCCTCTCGCTGAACATGCTGTCCTTAAAGAAGGCCAGCTCTCGGAAGAACACCCGAGACACCTGAGCCAACGAAGTGGCTTCGTCAGGATTAGAGGGCGGGTCCTCCTGCAGCAGGGTGAGGGTGAGCCCACCGAGTGTCAGACGCAGCAGAGCATCCGGCTTCAGCTGCTCCGCTCCGCTGTGGGAGCGTCCTGCAACCGAGAGGGTTAATGCTCAGTTTTTGGGTTAAAACGATACTTTGGGGGGAGTCTGATGGCATACATTCTGAAAAGAATATAAACAATCTGTCGGAAATGGTCATAAAAAATAAATAACTTTGAGGACAAACTACTACTTGATATGTCTGCGTCCTTCAAAGCTCAGCACTGCAGTGTTTTACCTCTGGTCCGGCCGCTTGCCTGGGGTAGACTCGACAGACAGCTCGCTACAGGATGCCCCCTAGGACCGTTCCCCATGCCCTGGCAGGAAGAAATACTAGTTGAAATCAGACTGCTTGAGATTTGATGGGTATATTTAAAACTCAAGGTCTGGCTGTTGTTCTCTGTGTTTTAGAACACACATAATACCATACGATATCTTGAGCTAAAACCCTTTGACGGCTGTACCTGTGCAGACAGTGATGCCGGCTGTGTGAAGCTGGACAGACTGTGTGTCGAGGACTCCATATCGCTGTCTGAGAAGTCGCTGCCAGAGCGCACAGACGTCACGCTACTGCTCATTCCAGCAGGAAACATGGAGAAAAACATCTCTGCAGGTACACACACAGACACAGAGTGACAAGGTAAATACTACAATGTCACACTAACACTTCAGGGTAGGTGGCTGAAGGGTAATGGGCGTCAGGATTGTTAAGGTCATTTCCAGATCCCCACTACTTGACAATCAAGCTTCCTATCTTTGAGTTGTTTTATATACTGACAGACTAAAACAACTTGAATACGTCAATAAAACTTTTGGCTTGCAACAAATAAATGAACATGTTTGACAGCAATATTGACATCAGGCACGATCAGCTCATTCTAAATTCTGCTGAATATCAAATCAAATTCCTCATCGAACAGACAGCCATCAACTGACTGGCTGCACTTTGCACTGCTGCAGGCAGTATGAGGTGATTATGTATCTCAGACATATTTCATATCATATATCTCAGACAGTTTAGAAGTGGACTTTTGCTTCCCTCAGTACCTCCATTCTCCTGGCAGGTGACGTAGGGGTCCAGGTCGGGCTCAGTTTCCCACTCTCTGTCTCTGGGACTGGAGCCCAGCTGCTTACTGAGGTCCTCCTCAATCAGACGCAGGTCATCTGAGTCCAAGGGCCGACTGAGGGCTCCATCACACTTAGTGTCTGTCCCTGAGGGGGAGGGGACAGACAAACATATTTATGAATGTGTGAGAGAGGAAGGGATTAGAGTGGGACCTCACACTCATGAGGAATTTACAGATGTGTGTGACCCTCCAAGTCTGAACTACAGAGGAAACAACACACACTTATTGTCTCAGAGTCTTTCTGTCTCTTTATTGGTGCTAAAGCCTGAGGGCGTTAGCGATAGTAGTACATGATAAGCAGTACATTTGTTGTTTTACTTAGTGACTGCATGCATGAATGTAGGCATCATTTGTACATTTTACTCGTCGTACAAGTGGAGAAGCAGGTATTTGCTATGTCGTTTGTGAACAGAGAATCACTCGTTTAATCATAACAGGCCCTATCATGACCTGACAAAACTCTGACTGATTCTTTAAATCAGCCAGTTCAAGCTGATCCTCTTTTAAATCATAGGGGCAAATCACTTATCTTGTTACGTTCCATAAGTGCCTGTCAAAATGTAACATAACTTATATAATTTAAACAATACAAATTTAACATCATCATTTTTGGAGGTTGGAAACAATCATATACCGGTACATATATTTGTGAAACCTAATTTGTATTTCCGACAGCATAGAAATACAAGGTTTAAAAAGAAAGCACATGCGTGAAAAAAAAAAGGCACAGCATTCCCTCCTCTGTTGCTCTCCCTGAGGTTTCTCCCATGTTCCCCTTTAAACTGTGGGTTTTCTCCAGAAGTTTTTCCTTGTACGATGTGAGGGTCTAAGGACAGAGGGTGTCGTATTGTCATACTGATATTCTGTACAAACTGTGAAGTCCACTGAGACAAATGTAACATTTGTGATATTGGGCTATATAAATAAACATTGATTGATTGATTGATTGATTGATTGATTGATTGATTGAAATGTTGGCTGTGTGTCACAGCACTGAAATACAGTCCAGAGCCTATTTCAAGAAGAGATTGAAGGGCCATCTACTAATGACCATGTACCCTTGTGAACTGTGAACCCTAATTTAATTGTATCTCATGCTTTGTACTGGTGGGTGTCTTGTGCACTCATCCTTGGCTGAGATTGATATTGAAAGTGGATGACATTGTTGATGATGTTGGAGATTGTTGATGATATTGGTGATGTTGTTAATGTTGTTAATGATGCCAGGACTTATGTCTTGAATGTTGTTGTATTGTTTTAAGTGTCGGACCCCAGGAAGAGAAGCTTTTGTCAAGAGCAATAGCTAATGGGGATCCTAAATAAACATAGACAAACATAAAGCACTGTACCGGTGTCTATGCAGAGGGCTGCCAGCAGGTCTGTCAGGTGGGTTATTTGATCTGGAGACAGCAGCATGTGGACACAGCCCACCTTGCCGTCTAACTCAAACTGAGGAACAGAGAAACACAGACAGGTGAGGAAGTCAATATGAGAGAGCAGATGCATTAGTAATCCTTCAGGATGTAACAGAACAAACACACACACCTTTGGTCCAGGCAGCATGTCGTTCTGTTTGATCTTGACGGTGGTCTCGATGAAACCGGAACAGCTTCCTATGAGCAGCGGCTGAGACGGAGGGCAGGGAGTGGATTTCAGGGTCTTCGGCTTCTCTTCATCTTCCTCCTCATTATCAACTCCTTCTTCATCTTTTTCCTCTTCTTCCTCCTCCTCCTCTTCTTCTTCTTCTTCCTCCACCTCCTCCTCTCCTTCACTTGCCATTGCTGATTCAGGGTGTTGCCGCTTAAGAGGACCCTAAGAAAGAGTTTTTCTGGTTATAAATGATATGTTTACTTTTTATATTGATATAAATTGTGTTGCGTTTCTCCAAGTTAACAAGACTCTACGTTCCCTTTTTCACAAGACAGATGTAAATAGTGATTACTTTGAAAGAGTAGCAAGTGAGTAAAGTTACTCTCCATCATTGTGGGATTAAGAAACGGGTTTATCAAGGTCTAAATAGCTGGAGATTTTTAGTTATCTTTGTTTACTTTGATCCACATCATCGTTTTCTTAAGAATCATTCTTTAATATTTGTTGTTTTTAGTTAGTCAAATCTTTCATGATTCTTCTAAAATGTAGATGAATAGATCAATTATAAACTTACATAAATAAAATAGTGAAATAAATAATAAAATAGATACAAAGATCACACATAAAGAATAATCAGCAGTCACCTGTACTGTGCCGGTGCTGTCGTAGAACAGCTGCACGGCGCTCAGCTGGAGGATCTTGTGCAGGAAGGCGGGCGGCTGGTGGATGTCCACAGGCACGGTCGTCTGACTGGCTGGATCTCGCACGGCCTCATCAAAGTACTCCAGCCTGGAGAACCATGGAAACAAACACAGAAATGGTTTAGTCCACGGTCAAATTTCTCAGTGCAAACGGGAAAGAGTCCCACCTGCATTGTGACAGCAAACAAAATGGTTTATGGTAATGTGATTTCGTTATTTCGAATGACTTAAAATTCCCTTTGGTGCATTGTAAGGACATTGTATTTAGGTTTTAAACAAATATACCTGAAAAAGATCAGATAGCACTTTCACTGTAACATGCTTCAACGGACTCAAAACAGTTGTTCTGTAAAAGCATTCGAGAGGACGTAGCCCTCTGTTTACTGACCCCAGATCAACAGCCTGAGCAGCTTTGACAACAAGCCACAAAAACAACAGCGGGACAGTGACACACTTTACAAAATGGAATCACAGTCATGTGGCTTCAACAGAAATAAACATAGCAGTGGCTAACCGGTGTTTTATGTCTTGTAATTGCATGGTTGAGGAACCTTTGACACCATTTGTTCCCCATCATATACATTACACCGTAGGAGTAGTGTATATGCTCTGACATTAAACCTTTTGAATCGCTGCTGTTGGGTTTCAACAAACAGAAATATCCACATTAAAGAGGTTCAGCCTGCTTTTTGAGGTATTTCCCTTTTTAACACTCACAGGAGGTTGCTTAGATGTCTTTCTGTGATCAGTAATATTGGAACTCTCCTACATCAGCACTTACTGTATAAGAAAGAGGGAAGGCAAAAAATGAAGCCAAGCATTAGAGGTAATCTTCTGTCTGCTCATCAGCAGATAAGGAGAAGAGGCCTCTGCTCAGTCGTAAACTTGCACTCCTTGGCCTTGTCTTGTCAAACAGCCTCAGCGTGAAGCACTTTTTAAACAGGGTCAGTATTGACAACGTCAGTCACCTGAAGAGACTTTTATCAGTAGCTACAAAGGACTGCAGGCTGAACGTAGTAAGGTGTCGTCAATATGGGATGTTAGGGAGGCCGTAACCTTCACATTGATGAAAATGTTGCGACAGTTAGTTAACTGGTAGTATGACTAAAAACCAAATCATGACTTATGCAATCATTTATAGAAATAAATGATGTTTCCAATAATTGGATGTAATTCACTGCATGTTTGACACAACCTCTTAACAAATGTCAACTGGAGCTGCAGGGATTAGTCGAGTTCATGTTTTTAGACTTAAAATTGAGCACTAACTATTTTGTTTATCAATGAAGTGTTGTCTCTGGCAGGAAAGGCTGTATTCATTACAAAGCTGTGAGGATATGAATCTGGAAGCTTTTATTTGTATGATGGGAAACATTTAGAAAGTAATGCTGACAGTTAGGGCTGCAGCCAGTGTTGGGAGTTATGCTTTTTGTCTACCGGCCACTGTGACTGGCGGGCATCAGACGTACCAGGTACTGAGCAAATAAAGAGAATCCAGCAGCCACTTGCAGGACTTCACCATCATTTAGGAAGTGCTAGTTTAAAGGTTCATCCCGAGTAGCTTCTTTGATATCCTATTGTCAAAAGGGCTTAACGGTCTGTTTCCCCCAATAACAAGGGCTGAAGGGCCAACACTACATCGTGACCCAACAGAGAACTAATGGGCAAGAGTTTGTGTTATATTAACAAATAGACAATTAAGAATTTTAAAACACAAAATAAAAGGACACAAATTATGAAGGAGGTGAAATAATGAAAACATGTTTTGTTTTCTTCTCTGCAGCTTATTTGAATGTTGAAAAAGGAGCTAGGACGTACCGTTTGATGTGCATCTCTAAGGCCACGCCTGTTTCCAGGTCCAGGGGCTGGTGCTCGATGCGAACGATAGTGTCTATGAAGGTGACTTTAATACGACGAAGGACTGGAAACACAGATGAGATGAGAGACAGACAAAGGTTTATCAGCACTGAACTGTTGAATAAGCTCTTCTTGTGTGTGCTCAGATTGGTTATTTAATTGAAGAATATTCCCACCAATTGACATTATCACCGTGGGGAAACTTTGATATCGGCTTTCACGACTTCGCTTCATCGCAGAGTTTGGGAACAAACAGATTTGACTTACCTGTCTCAATGGTTTGTGCAAACATCTCCAGCCCCTCCAGCTGGGGTGGGGGCTCCTCTGAAGCCTCCGGGGGGTCCTTCAGGCACTCCTGAGCCAGCTGCATGCTGGAGGTCATGCTTGATGACCAGCCTTGAGAGTCCCATCCCCCACCTGCTAACAAACCACATGGGGATTTAGTGATGTCTTGCCTTTGACAGAGAAGTAGTGTAAATGACATGTTTGCAAACATAAGTTAACTCCATGGGACATAATGTTTTATAATTAACATTAATAAATTGCATAACATTTAGTTATTGTCATTATGCTGCTTTCAAATCCGTGTGTCAGTGCTGTACGATACCAGTCACCTCTGTGGAAACATTGGAATAACTGCCTTTTTTTATTTAAACTTTTCTTTTTTTTAAATGGACCAAGAGTCTCTTTAAATAAAGCTGCTGATGATGAGGATTGAAATAATCGATGATTTAAAAATATATGTATTTGTTTAATTTTAATTTGTAAATGAAAAGGATTAATGAATTATTGTAAGCATACTAAATCTAAAACAAATGTTTTCAACTATAGCTTAGTGTTTAAAAGAAATCAGAATATTCAGTACATGAACTTTGAGCCTATCTGCAACAAAGGGATGCTTTGTTTAAAATAGTAATAGTACAGTAGTGAGGTATTGCTGTTGTGAAAAATGGCCACAAATTAATCAAGAGCTTTGAATGTACCTTTTCTTTAAAAAATTAAAGATAAAACAAGGTGAGTAATTGATATCTAAGAATGATAATGTTGTGGGTGAAGTATTTCTTAAAGCAAATTACAATGATTTAAATTACTCAAATGTTAGGATTTGAAGTGTTCTCTTCTTCATATATTACTTTTAAATTGATTATGTTGGGGTTATGAATGTTTTGATTTGATCATGCCACTTTGAGGTCTGTTCTCTATTTTCTGACAATTTATTAAAAAAAGGTAAATGTATATAGTTCATATCAGCATATTATTATCAACACATTACTGGAGTAGTTGTCAGTGGTTTGATTATAAGAACAAAAAGGTCTGGACTTGAAGTCCAATGATCTTTCTTGGATCATCACTTACATCCTGTTGTTTACATTTTTTTGTAATGTACCTAAATAACAGATCTTACCAAAGAGCCACTTATTTATACTCAGCTGCATAACAAGAGCTCTACACCAAGAATGGTTTGGGAGAACAGTAATAAAAACATGGACAAAGTAAGTCTTTTGGACCACACTTGATTAGACAATCCCTGGAAGAACCCCTTAGGCAACAACATGTGGCTAACAGATCCACATTTAGTGTCAAAAGAAGAGTCACAGGTTGACTCAACAAGTTGCTTCTCAGTGAACTTACTGGTCCTGTACTTGGGTCGACACGTTATCTGGAGACCAGAAACCTCTAAAGTGCAGTGATCAGTCAGGAGAGCTTGCCAGGGTATGGTCACTGTTATGGTGTTCACAAAGCCATCCACTATCTCCAGAGGAGCCCCAAGAGACTCCAAAAGCTCATTGACCGCCTGTGGTAGAGAGGAAGCAGTGATAAGAAAGACAAAGTGAAAATAAATCTGAAATCCATATCATCTTATCACTCTTTATGTAGACTTAAGCAACGGAAGTGAACAGTAAACATGGCAGGGGGGGTTATCCATTCTCAATGTTAGAAACTAGATAGACTTGAAGTGCATCTGGTGATATGTTTCTCATGAATGTGTTTCCTCGAAGAAATGCGAGCTAGGTTCAGAGTGACGTTACAGATTGTTGTTGAACTCGAGTGCAGTTGCGAAACAATCAAGGGTGCATGAGCCCGACAAAAACACGATGCCTGCTGATGTGGTGCAGGGTTGACAGCCACCTATCTGTAATAAAATCTCACCCAGACATCGAGGTTGATTTCCTTGATGACACCGCTGCCGTTGTACAGGTCCAAACCCAGCTGGTCCAAGCTCAGTCTTTCCTGCAGAAAGTGGCCGAGGTAGTGCTGTAAGAGGTACCGACAGGCCCGCTTCTTGATCGAGCCTGACCAGGGGAAAAGCCAGCGAGACATAGGGCCAGAGAGAGCGGGGAAAGGGAGCAAAGAGGTGGCGGAGGAGAACCAGTGCGAGTACAGTCCTCTGGCAACTGCATAACAGACTAACACAAAGTGAGCAAAAACAAGGAATGAGCCACAGCTAGCTGCAGGGGGCTAAGGAAGGGGTAGCTCGTAACTCTCCTCACGGCTTGACACAACAACTCGGAAATCCTTTGTGGCAGGATCTACGAGAATCCCCTGCGACTTAACGACACGTTACTCCTACTGTCTGCCTCTGTCTCGACTCGTATTTTTGGTGTGTTTGTGTCGAATCGGAGCGACAGGTCCCGTTGTTGCGTATCTCTTGTTTCAGGGTTGTTTATTGTTATCCCACGCCAACTGATGGTATGGTGAACGTACCTGCGTCACGGTGACGAAGCGCAGAACCCGGAAAAGAAAGATGACACCCGACGTAACCTGGGCGCCATCTTTGTAAGGTATATTTTTTAAATATCTAAAATAACCTTTTTAAAACATATTTTATTTTGTATTATTCCAACATGAACGTTTATTATGATTTGGATTAATTTTGGGTTCATTATATTTTAGATGTATTTACAGCTCAATCTTTTTTTTTTTTTTTAAATTGACACTAAAACCCGAGGCATATCATCATGTTTTCTTTTCCGAAAACATTACTAGTTATTAACAGAGCAGTTGATGGTAGCTGGGAAGCTTAATAATGCCATTATGCCTTAAAATATAGTTGTTTAACATCTTATAATAATAAAATGTCTGCTTTTATTTGAGGAATTCTTTTATTGTTTATGGTAATTGTTTGTCCCTGGTCTGTTCAAAGTAAAGAGGTTTAATACAAAACAGTTAAGATCTATTACAACACTAAACCATTTCTCATTAAATGGAAGGGCTTTGAGTACCAGTTGGAATTTCTGCTCTATCCATTCAAAAAACTTACTTTGCTATAGTAACTATATATCAGTGATGCAAACACAGGTATGGTGAAAAAAGAGAGAACTATTCGAAGCAGAAAAAAAACGTGATATACCTGACAAAGGCCTGTGCTATAATGCTTCAATTAACTGGCTATTCTTTATAATATACTCAGATCAATAGGAGACAGAGATGTTAAGTTATAAATCAAGGGTTTTTATTATTGTTTACAGCAGGGGTGGGGAACCTTTTTCCTTTCAATTTTTACAACATCCTCCGAGGGCCGTACAAATTATTGAACTCAACCTCTGTTTAAAAATACTAAAATCACAGCCCATTCATTTGGCCTTTCTTTCATGTTATGCAAAGACAAAGAAACCTCTTAATCCAGAGATTTTACCATGACTCGCGCATGCATGCACGTGCAGTTGTGGTATGACCAGCATAACAGAAAGATATGGACACAAGATGTGTGCAAATGTATTTAGTATCCATGTGAACATTATTTAAGTGGGGGGGACCTAACCTCCTCTAGGGGGGTTTGGGGGCATGCTCCCCCGGGAAGATTTTTTTTTAAATATTGAAGTTAAAAGCATCAATCTGGTGCACTTTGAGAGCAACATTAGGAGATCTATGGGTACATCTTTCAACACCCATATGAAACAGAACTGTAAGCAGATTTTTCTTTTTGGATATTTTACAAATCACTCCCCTTTTAAACTCTATTCTTGTTATTTTAAAAAACGTTTTTTGTTACTGTCATATAGTATTGTATACCTGTTTTTCATTTAGTCTCATTAATAACTATAATGATCATATCAAGGTGTGCCTTAACCTCACTGAGCTGAGGTTATTTGAGCCTCTCAGGAGAGAGCTCTCTTCCACCTGGTTGTAGAAAAGCTCTTTAAATTCGTTAGCATAGCTAGCTAACCAGATGCTAATAACAGATCGCCACTGTGCTTACAACTAAAGACACGCAAACACTGTGGCATGTGTACGGCTCCTTATGGTGGGTACTGCAATATTTGAAGAGCTGGAGCGGCCTTCCGGTGCTCTCCGTCAGCACTCCTTTCAGACGAGACATAACCACGTGAAGACACGTTACACTCGTGTTGTGTTCAAGGAACCTGTCCTTGGCCAGGAAAAACAGGCATTCGCTTGTTTAATTATTTTGCGATCTAGATTTCTTCTTCTTTTCTGAAGTGAGAAGTTGTCCGTCAGTCACCCAAATCAGCGTTAAAAAAGCGGTAGGCGCCGAAAAGCGGCTAATTTGAATCACTGATATATATATATATATATCTTTTGTTTTGTTACTTCCCCCATGCATATAC